ATAATAATAATCATAATATAATCATAATAATAATAATAATCATAATAATTAATAATTACTTTAACCACGTTTGAAATTTGGTAAAATTTCATAATTTTTTAATCGAATTTCCCTAAGCTCTCGGGTATTGGTTCTATTGTTAAATTTGAGAGAAGACTGTTTTCAATTGTAAATTAATCGAATGTATGTGTTAGGTTGGTGGGGAAAATCGATAACGAAGGAGCATGCGCTTGTATATTAGTTACCAAATTCGACTAAACGTTATTAAGATTTCAATTCAAATTTATAATTAATAATGTTTAGTAAACATCTGAGGTAAAGAGTTATAAAAAAAATGGAAAAAGGATCTTGCATTCTTATGAAATGTTGATAGCATATATAGTTAAAAATGATCAATTAGTGATTTTCTCTTCGACTTTATATAATTAATTAATTTTTTTCATAGATCTCTCTCATTTTAGTGATAAAATGAATCAAATGAAAACAAGTTAACGGAATTAAATAGAGAAAGGAAAAAAAAAAGTAAAATAATAATAAATTTGCAAGAACATTTCACTGCCACAATGAAGTTTATGTTGGAGAACAACGTTCTTATTTATTCTTATAGTTTGAATTCATGTACTATTATTATACTTAGCGTTGTTAACTACTTTTAAATTGATTAGAATGATTAATGAATAATATCAAAGTAATTGAAAGAAAAGAAGGAAAAAGAAAAAAAAGGAAACAAGAGACATTCAATAAAAGCTGTTCGAGAAACTCGTACTACTATAAGTAGATACTAAGAGAGATAGAAAGAGATTATATATTATTTTTATTTTTATTATTATTTAAAACAAAAATTATATTATTGAATTGATTTTGATGAAATCATTCTTGTGGCATTTTTAACCACTTTAATGTTCTAATATCTACTGCCTGGAATATTATGATAACTTATATTATATTATTTACGTCCAAATATACGTCGATAGTTGGTCGTACTTCTGTAGGGGAAAAAAAACATTTTTTTTTTTTCTTAAGAGAGATTAAAAATTGGTTAAGATAATATTTTGAGAATAAAATATAGGACGATTAAAATGTTTCAAAGAGTGTGAATGGCATTGTATAAATAGAAAGACTCTCATTCATTTCTACAGTTACTTATTAACGTTTAACGATAATATCATTGCAAATGAAGGAATTTAATAATATAAAAATCACGTATCTTCTTCATAATCTTGTCAATTCATAGCGACGGTTTTTTTTTTTCTTTTTTAATTGAGTGCATCCATATGTACCAGAAATAAATAGATAAAAAAAAAAAATAAAGAAAAAAGGAATGAAACTTAATGTATTTTTCACGAAAAGATGAAACAAAATGAATGTGAAATGAAAAGAACAAAGGAAAATAAGGAAGAAAAAGAGCTGTTTTAGTTCGATCATAAACAAAAAATAATATAAACAATGTATTTTTAAAACAATAGAAACGCTAGTCCACCGCGAAAAAGAAAGAGAATAGTAGGAAAAAAAAACAAAGAAATAACATCTCATTACAAATGTCACTTTTATACGCATCGACCAGATTAACTAAATTAATATTCGTATAAAAACGACACGCTACAGAGGATTGTTGTAAAATAAATATATAAAGATTCCTTTTGCTTTTCTTTTTCTTTTATTTTGTTTTTTATTTGTTCTTTTTGCAAAAATGAATGCTATAGTGATGTATATAATAAAATCATTTATATTGCTTATATTTTAATCGAATACCGAAAAACTTTGATCTCAAACAATAATAATATATTGGCGGTTAATAGGAAATCATTGTAATTGACCTACCAATATTTCGAATCGGCGATTTTAGCAACACTCCGATTATTGTTTATTATTAATGATATCTCTTTCCATATATATATTTAATATAAAAACTATATACACAAATAATATCGAAATATAAAGAACAGAAAAAGAAAACCATACAAAAATACACTCAATGGTTAAATTTTAGTTAGTTGATATAGACGAACGAATTGAAGTCGATCATTTTTACTGCTTCTAAAAATGCTCTAATTCTGATTTAAGATTCATATATATTGCATTCTTCTTCTTCTTTTTATTATTATTATTATTATCATTCTTCTTCTTATTATTATTATTATTATTATTATTATTATTATTATTATTATTATTATTATTATTATTATTANATTATTATTATTATCATTCTTCTTCTTATTATTATTATTATTATTATTATTATTATTATTATTATTATTATTATTATTATTATTATTATTATTACTATTACTTTTATTTATATTATTATTGTCATTATTATCGTTATCATTGTTTAATTATATTGCAAATGTTCAGAAGCAAAAGTTATACAATTTGGATGTGAAAAATATGTTAGATATTTATTTAACGATATGAAATAATTACTCCATATATCTATATCGTAAATTGCATTATTTTAATTTGAAATTATTTTTATAATTGTAGTTTTTATCATTGGCGAGACTTTCATGTGATACGCTAAAGTTTTCAGTGGCTTTTAATATAAAAGATTGTCTTAGTTAAATGATATACTTCCAATAATTCGGATGAATATTTTTCCCAAAATTGTATATTATATATTAATCATGTGTACTAAACAATAAGATTAACATTTTAAAAATCTGTATTTATATATATATCGGAGAGGCTACGTGATATCTTTGTTTTAAAAAAATCGCTTCGAATGTTTTTTATTTCTTTGCTTGTTGTGGCTAACACAAGCTGGAATTGTATTTAAATTTGGCATTAAATTACTGTTTCTCTGTAATATAGCATATGAGAAAGAAAAATTTAGTAATGAATACAAGAGAATAACTCATTGACTCGAATAGAAATATACAATGATTAAAATTTGATACTACTCGGATTACATTTTTTAAATAATTATAAAATACACGTATTGTATATAGTAATTTTCCAATGAAATATTTGAAAAGAAAAAAGTCGTAGGTACATATATATATATATACACAATAATTCCTCAATTTACGTGGGTAATTGGTTTTACGAAAACAGCGCGTAAAAGGAACCACAAAAAGTTGTTTTAAATAAGAATCCGTTCCACATTCTTAAATATGTATTTAGCTCTTACTGAGGTAGAAAAATAAGTTAACACACGATTAAGAAATAAATAACACTGGGAAATCCCTGAATTCCGCGTAAATGGTGGGATTACTGTTTATACACCTCACGAATAATTAAAAAACTATATACCTTGCACGACTACAATGATGGTCATCGTCATCTCACTGTGTACAGATCATCTAAAAGACTTGTATTTTGATATCAACAAAATATCCTAAGAGAATATCTCATTGGTTTTGTAAAGCTTCCCATTAAAAACAATAATAATAATCACGAATACATATATGGTTACAAAAGATTTCCAAATGTTTAACAAATGAAAATAAAAAGAAAATGAAACTTTTTTACTAAATGATCTTACAAGATATTCTATAGAGCTTTGAATTCCATTGTACGTATAAAAAGATTAGATAGTAATGAAAAAAAAAAACAAATAAATAAAAATAAAAAAATTACAAAAGAAAATAAGAAGGATAATATGAAAAAGAGTGAATAGACATACAAACGAACAAAAAAAAAAAAAGAAAAAGAAAATATTTTCGCTAAACCATGTACAAAAGTTTAAGTTTTACACCAACTTAAGTAACAATGTGAAAACCGACTTGCATATAAAAATTTATTTTTTGTCAACGAGCAAAAAAATATAAAACGTAAAAAACGATATTTTCTAATTCATCTCTGTGTAATACAAACAAAGATAAAGAAAAATAGGCGGAAAAGAAAAAAATAAACACGCAGAACCATATACATGTAAGTGAATATATGTGCGAAAAAAAGAAAAAAACAATTGCGAATTGTGTGAGAACTACGTTTTAAACTGTATGAGAGAACAATTCACTGCCAAATTGTGATAGAGAGAGAGAGAGAGAGAGAGAGAGAGAGAGAGAGAGAGAGAAATATTCCCACCTAAGAGCAGGAGCGTTTTCTTAACTTCTGATTAGCATTGAAAACCACTACCATGTGTTTCCTCTTAATCTTTATACATAGTTACCGTGAATTCTGTGCACCCAAACAGTAGTAGTCAATCTATAAACCTAAACTTAAGAATAGAAAGAGGAAGAGGAAGAGTGAAAAAAAAAAAGAAAGAGAAAATAATTATAATAAACATAAATAAATTTAAAAAAGAAGTATATATATATATAAGTACATAAAATACATAGTTTTGACCAATGCAGTTAGAAATAAAGGAAACTGCTCCCTAATTAATAAGCATGTAGCATTTTAAAAAAAATTAAGAGAAAATGGATTGATATTTTTAAACAGGCACGTGTTTTACTGTTTAAAAGTTATAGGTAAAGAAAATAAAAGATGAAAGGTGAAAAGAAAGAGTGGTAACATCCAACCGCTTTTAGCAGCGCCCTTCTAAATTGTATTTTTACGTGTACAGTGCCTTTATATATTAAACAAAAACACATTTACACACACACACATACACGCGCACGCACACACACGAAACTTCGAAGAAAGATAAATTTGACCCTTCGAGATATCGTTCATTGTTTCTTTTTTTCCTTTGAAGATTGTGTAAAAAATAACTAATATATATTAGCAGTTTTTATAATTAATATAATGATTAATAAAAAATAGTAATAAAAGAAACAATGTCGATATCTCGAGTAGTCAAATAATATTGCGAGGTCCCTCCTAAGTGTCGTGACGTTCTCTTCTATATATAATTAGTTTTTAAATTGTAATATTAATTATTGATACACTAAAGCTCTGTAAGTAGATTATTATTAAAGAAAAGTTGTGTAAAAGTGTACAGTGGAATCCAAATGA